TTTAATCCATGATTGTCTAAATCTTTTTAGGATCCATCATAAAACCATTATTTGAAATGATATATCTTAAAAAGTCAACTTAAGTGGTATAAAATATATACTTTTTTATTTTGGCATATAATCCAACATTTCTAATTTTTTATAATACATGACAAATATGAGATTCATGCTCTTCTATATTCTTAGAATAAATTAAAAATTTGTTTAAATAAATAAAAAAAAATCATCAAGAAATTGTCAAAAAATATTATACATTAGTTATTGAAAAGTAATTGGTGCATTTGTAAGTCCAAAAGATATGACATTATATTTGAAATGCTCTTATCTAGTTTGAAATATAGTCTTTCAATCATTTTTTTTTTTTTTTTTTTTTTTTTTGATGCATATCAATTTTATACTATTTTTAGATATATTTTTATATAGATCTTTACTTTATTGAATTGATTAAAAAATTCTAAAATCAAAGGTAAAGGATATCTATTTTTGATGGTGATTTTGTTGAGTCTTTTATAGTCTACATACAATTGCAATGATTAATCTTTTTTCTTCAAAAATAAGATAAGAGCTCCTATTAAAGATTTTATATGACATATAAAGTTCTTAGTCAAGTTTTTGTTAATATATTCTTTGAATAGAATCAACTTATTTTGTAATAAGTTGAAAATTAGTCTAAAAGGCGATTGAGCTCTTTCTTAAAGTTCAATTCAACAATCATACATATAATGCTTTAAAAAATATTGTCACTTTGTTTTTCAAAAACATCTTAATAATCTTAATACTGACTTGAAATGCCAGTTGTAGTCTTTTTACTATCAGAAATAGATATGATATATATAACAAAATGTGACTTTTCTTTTGAAGCATGTATGAAAGTTCTTGTACCTACCAATAAAGATTTGTTTGTATTGGACTTATGAGTTTGTACATGACTAAAAAAATCTTGGATTAAACCATAGAAACAATTAAGGTTACAAAATATCTAATCTATTTGAAGATTATACTTTTATAGCCATAATAATCTTAAAATAATTGAATTAAAAGAAAATCTAATCACATTAAATATTATTAAGCTATTATGATCATTAGTTTCTATTTCTAAAAGAATAGTTTCATAGATGACATCTCCAAAAGATAATAAATGACTAGCCATTATTTCTACATATATGAATTTGATTTTCTTGATTAAAGATCTTTCTTATTTTTTGGCAAAATCTTTATTTATAAAATAAGTTGAGATTTTTTAATTTAACAAGGCAAAGACTTTATAATTTTTTGATCCTATACAAACTTCTATTATAAAAGAAGAAGAGAATAAGACCTTTATTAGATATTGTACAAAATTTAAGTTGTATAGTTCTTATTGTAGTTAAAAAAATACATTTTTCAATATATCATCTTTTTTAGCAACCATACTCCTTATTTTGTAATTATATTGCTTCTTTAGATAATGTTAAGTGATGTGCTTAGATTTTCTATAATACAAGCACAAACCTTTTTAACAATGTTTAGTCTTTTTTTACTTAGTAAGAAGTTTGAAATATATCATGTCAATTTGTATAAGTTTTAAGTTGGATAAATATGCTTCAAAAACTTAGACGATTTTTCCATGACTTGACTTGTACCTCTTCAACTAAATCTTTATTTTTGGCATCTTTCAAAGAATCAATTGTCACATACAATAGCTATAGCTATAAATTCTTCTAATAAAAATGCTCATATTGTCGTCAATAATAAATCTTTGATGTTATCTTTTAACCCATATCAAAATTCTTTGATAAGGGCTTTGTTATTTCAATCTAAATTGCAAGAAAGGTTTTGGAATTCAATTGTATGTATGGTAGCTGAATATGATCTTTATTGTAAAATTATAAGTTTGATTTTTACGACCATTTTTCAATCACATTCTCTAAATGTGGTTGTAAATAATTCCAATAATGAATTCAAATCATAGAATAGTCATGAATTCTTTTCTATCAAAGTTGCAAATCAAAAAAGAGCATCTTTAGATAAAAGTGCACCATGAATTTGACTTAAGTAAATCCATCAAGGTATTGGAAAGTATACAATCTTAAATAGAGCTTCAATTATACTAGAAACCCTTGAAACTTTGATGTTATTCCATCAAACTTCTCTGACATACTTATCCTTGCTTCCCTCATACTTGTAATAGTAAAGATGCTTGGATTCAATTGTAAACTTAATCTACTTGCTTCTTTTAATTGCACAACTTCTTGGTATAGACTTTAAACTTCATTGTTGGCTTCTTTGATGGGCATAGAAATAATATATCTATAATTCATGTTGAAAATATATGATATTTCTATCTTAAGAGTATTGACAATCTTATGAAGATCTACAATAAGTACAAATCTATTTTCACTTTTGCCTATAATAACATCCACAATTTTTTCTTCCTTACATAAGTCAAGAAAATTCAAAAGTCAAATTAGATAAAGATAATTTATAACTTTTAAATTAAAATAAAATTTTCTACAAAGAAGGATAATATCTCTTATTTTTTAAAAAAATAATATTATAAATTTGAATATCAATTTAAAGGTAGATAGTCTACAACCTTCAAAATATAATAATAGAAATAATATAATTTACTTACTTTTAATATAAAAAATCAATAAGTTAATATTCTTGTCAAATTATCAAAGATATGAATCTCAAACACATAAAAATTCAATACATTCTTGTGTCACTTAGAAAAAGTACATATTTATTCAAAATTAATATAGTATTAAAATTAAAATGGCTACTGCCAAAGACATGAAGACTAGAAAGTCTTGAAATAAGATTAAAGACTAGAAAGATATTAACAAGGGTGAAGTAGTCTTTATTCTTGCCTCTATATATACTATCTAATTAGAAGCTATATGACAATGTTCTATAGAATCTCCAACACGTTGTTATGTAGTAATATGATTATATAGTGAAAAATGAAAACATGGATGTTGTTATAGAAGAGCTTAGTATGAAGATGTGGTAGAAAAACAAGGATAAATGATAGGAAGGTAATAAAAAAATTTAGCCTTAATACTACCTTTTAGAGAAGGGACTTCTATTTGCTTTGTAGAAGCATAAATGCCTCAAATTAAAGTAATTAAAATAATTTGTTAATATAAATATTTTGAGAAGGAAGTTACCAATAGTTTCAAGCAAAAATAACTTCAAATTACCAAATATTGATACTTGGAGAGGATCAATTGTCAATCTGGATCAAAATCAAACCTTAAGGCACAAAAATGCATATCTATGGCAATTCTAAGATTTTTTGTTAGATTGAAGAGTGGAATTTCAAAGCAAACTTAAAAAGAGATTTTTAAGAATTGGATTTATATCAATTAATTTAATATTCAATTTTGGAGAGATTTTCAAAATTGACAATGTTCTTGGTTGGATTAGATTTTAAAAAATAAAATTATGTTTAGAAAATTAAGGATTTCTTGAGTTCGGCAATGTTTGTACAAGTGAATTTTGGATATTGTGTTGATGTTCTAGTTGTTAATTTGTGTGAAAATTTTGAGGTCAATCAAATAGTTAGATCAAAGTGTGTAAAGGTTTTTGTGGATAGAGGTCTCCGAAATTGGAATTTGAGGGTTAGTGAGTAATTTTAAGATTTTTAGGAATTTGTTGATTAGATTGAAGTGAATTTTTTTTGCATAGAGACTAGACTTAATTTTCCATAGTTTAAGTATGCTTTAGAGGCAATTCAACAATTCAAGAAGGAGATATTGGCACTAGAAGTTTAACATTCAGATTGGAGTAAGAGGCCGGCCAACATCCAAGCGGAATTGAGGTTTGGTCTTCTATTTGGTATGTTCAATCTTCTTCAAATTTTGTATGCTTGTTGCCAACTTAGCCATTGAAAGATGTGTAAAATCTTAAGTAAGATCAAGGATATAATCAATAGATATTGAGATTCTAAACTGCCCTAGGATTAAGTTAATTTGATTAAGATTTGATTAGGATTTAATATTTGTTTAGGATCTAATTAGAATTGACTTAGGATTTAAGTAAGGACTATTAGAATTTTAAGTAGGATTAAATTAAGATTTGGTTGGAATTCATTTAAGATATATTTTGGATTTTACTTCAATACTTCCTTTGAAATTCTTTAGGATTTCTTCATGCTTCTTTTATAATTTTTTTGAGGTTCTTTGGATTTGATTAAAGCTTGATTAGCATTATTAAGGTTTAAATGGATTTATTTAGGACTATATTAAAATTAGAATCTTGTTGTTACAATACTCCTTCTACCTTCTACAACGAAGTGCTCAGTACATTTTTAAGCAAGGCTTCATGTAATACGACAATACGTCCAAATTATAAGACATATGTCTTTACTTGCAAAGTAAGATTCTTTTATATGGGCCACATGTTTAGTTTGTACCACAAGCTACCAATACGTGCAACATGTGACTAATTTATTGGCCAAGTATTCAAACTACCAATCACCTATTGACATGTATAAAGGTGAAATTACATTTATGAAGCTTCTAAGAAGCTATAATTCAAGATATTATCAAATTAATCTACTTTTAACTTCTACTTATTCATATTATCTAAATAATTATTAGAGTAAATATATGTTTTCATGATATCCTTTCAAATTAAAATATCTTAAAAGAGTTTTTGCCTTTATAACATGAGATCTTCCATCATAATGCCAATTCTAAACTATTAAATTTTGTTTTTTAAAATACAAAATAATAAAGTTTGGATATTTTTTATTAAATAATTGGTATTTACTATTAAGCAACTTAAGTATTTTAAAATATTTTTTTAAGGTTTCCTACTTTTTCCAACCATTTTGGCCACCTATTTTTCCTTGGTGGTAAAAAATGGTCACCAACTATTTACATTTCTAATTATGCTATCCAATTTTCACTTGAGCTACTCACTTTTGTGGTAGACCACCCATTCCGAGCCGCTGGGGTCCTGCCGCCGGAGGGTGGCCTCCTCCCGTGCGGGAGCCTGGCGAGCTCCCCACACTCCGACTGGGGGGCCGCCTGCCCCGCGCTCCACTGCCCACGTCGCCAGGTTCCCCGAGGTCCTCTGCCCAGCTGGATCTGTATTACGCTATCTTCTACAGCCGCAATCGATCCCATAGCCTGATAATGCGTGTTGCCGGTATGCTTTCCGCAGTTCTGTTATCCCTAAGCAACCTACAACGGGTCAGGACAGTACCTACTTCAATTTTCTTTGTGCTTGAAGATGCCGAATTCTCATTATTGATGTTTCTTTTGCCTTTCAGCGTGACTCTGGTCCAAGAAAAAGTTCGGTATTTAAAGATCTCCATCTCACACTTTTTGATGACGAGTCTGTCACCAAAAATGATCCTGAAGAGGGAGTTGACGAGTTAAGACATCTGTGAAGATAGCCCAGTCATGTGAAAGTGCCTTCAAATGCTAACGGACCGTCAGACAGAGAGAACGACCTGCGTCGCGATATGCCGAAGAGAAAGGGTTCAAACTCCAACCCCACACACTGTACTATAGCAGTCTTTTCGTATAGTGGGTTCAATGGGGTGTAGATGGATGCTGAAAGAAGAATCAAGTGAGATTGTGTCGCACTAGTGAGATAAGGGTATTAGAAGTTGATATGGTTAAAGGTCCCTACATAACTGCTTTTAAGGTAGTGAATACTCAGTGTACTGGATCCAGGCATCACTGGCAGTCCAAATCACAACTGCAATGACAAGGATGAGAGACAGTGCGTAAGACTTGAGTATGAGCGACAGAACCTCGTAAGAACCCAGCACTTGCCACCCCATATTGATTCTCGTCATCGGGAGAAAAATAAAACGATGTGTCCCTACCTAATAAGATAGGAACGCTGGCTATGCTTGTATTGAGAACACTAAGATTAGCCCCTGCTACACAACTCGCAACGAAGGTATTTGCACTGAAATGATTCTAGAGTCCTTTACTAAGCTCTCTCACGCAACCCACTCACATTGACTTCCTCGACCTTCAACTTCAAAGAGGCCACCTCAAACCTTTTGAGATCATCCTTCACTTAGGAAGGGTGCAGAATTTCCTCTCACTCGGCGACAAAACTCTTGCCAACTGCAGAAATCCCCCGACACTAAACCACAGAACTCGTACTCCTAAAGACACGTATAGTGCAATTCAAGAGAAGGCGTACTAGCAACGATCGAGACAAGAAGAGTGCAATCGGAGCGACCTCAATAAGCGTGCGGATCCTGCGAGCTTCAGTCTCACTACATCAAATGTGCACAGGAGCAATGAGGGAGACGGTCCGGCATTCGATTACAGTGACAAGCCTGAGCGGTAAGAATTAGTGTTGAGGTTGGAGTAGATCAGTCGGCCGAGTACAGATCCACCCCACGGAGCCGCTGTGCTGCAAGCTTTGCCCCACCAGCCAGACATCCTCAGAGACGATGAATCTGGTCGAACCTGGTCCCCACGGCGAAGAACCGGTGAATACACGTCGGTGCAAACTTTGGGACCCATTGTCGCAAGCTGGTCGAAGGAGTTGATCCGTTCCGAGGGGGTGGAGCCTCCTTGACTGCCTCCCTCCAACCTCTCACCAGGCTACAACTTCAGATCTCTTCGACGACAGAAAACTCATTCCCCACGAACTGTTACACACACATGATCTAATCTGATTTGATACGACCCGATCTAATCGATCACAGGCAAGCTCGGATCTCAACCTCACGCCCGAAGCCACTGCATTCATTTGTGTGGCCAGTTTCCTAGTGAGGATGTTCACATCTTTGACATGGTTTTCACTTCTTCTTCTTCTGCTTCTTCTTTTAAGATTCTGAGCGTGTGCTTTGCTCTCTTTTCTAAGGACATGGTTGCAATGTTGGGGAAACAGCATTGAAGATCCTTCGTTTGTTTGTGAATTTGATGTTGTTAAGCTGAGATTCTGTTGGTTGGAATGGTGAATTTTTAGAGTGGCTAGTAGAGTTAATGAAAAAGAAGTTTATTTAGACTTAACAGGTTGTTTAGAATGTTTTCTTTTTCAAATAGGAAGTCTAGATTTTGGAAGTGGAGAGGGAGTTATTACACATACAAAGGGAAATATTGTTAAATGTTTATAAAGGTTGTTTTATTGTATGTATTGTTATAGTTTAACAATACATTACAGAATAAGAGAAGTAGAATCAAGATTGAACATGGTTTTTGAAAAAAAATGTGTGTGTTTAGTATATTTAATCAAAAAAAATAAAATTTTGTTAAAAAGATCTAAAGCACTGATAGAAATAACAAGTTCAATTATGTAACATCAAAAAAGTAAAATAAAATCTTAAAATTTGTTATTACATTACAATACTATATGAATCTATAATGTGAACATCAAATTTAGTAATATTTTTTCAATGATTTTCATTTAAAAGATAAACATGTCCATATTATATAATTTGAATGAATTATATAAAAGTTTTTAATAAATTGCACCAAAATCCAAATTTCATCAGATTGATTAAGTTAATTTCAAAATCCATCAATATCCACATATTGCCATCTAGTTTTAAAATTCTAAATTTTAAAAATAATTAAGATTCCTTGGTTTCAAACTATTCAAAAATAAATAATGAAACAAATAAAAACATTTATCTTCTTATATAAAATATATTAGAATTAAATTGATAAAATTTAAAATAATAACAAATCATTATTCAAGAAATTTAATTCATTATCAAATGGATATATATTTAATATGCAAATATAGAAATTTATTTTTTAAAATATAATTAGATTGTAAAATATATATATATATATATATATAGAAGAATGTCAAACACACTCAAGATGTTATTAAATCATCCTATCCATGATGAAGAATATGATAAACATGATGAATGTGGTTGGTTTTCATTGAATTTGGATCCAATAGTGGAGTAATGAATCTACAGGACATTTTTTTTTTTTTTTTTTTTTTTTTTTCCATGATGGGTGGATTAATTTAGTAAAATTTGGTTTTATTTAACATTTCCATATATATATATATATATATATATATATATTCATACAAACACACAAATCTATATATATATATATATATATATTCATACAAACACACAAATCTATTTGGAGTGACGTTAAACTACCATAAAACTATACACTGGTATTCTAAGATTGATGGTTTAATCCCAATTGTAAAAACCCTAATTTAGTGGTTGCTAGCACAAAGAACTTCCTCCCTGATATTCTATAATTAGATGTCATGCATAATAGAATACTAGAGAGCAAATATCTTTGGATCTCCTCCGCCACCTCGGATCTAACGCCCCATTCCGCCCATGCCTCCCTTAGACCCGAACCTCCACTATTGCGAACCTCGCTATTGCTCTCTTTGATGTAATTCGACGGAATCCAACTTGCTTCGTTGTTCATGCATCTCATCTCGACTGTACCATTTGGTAGTGCGACCAGGGAACTAACTCCAGTCCCAGGGAGCTCTTCTCTGCGCTGTCACGCTACCGAAACCCCCAGCAATATCTTGCATGTCATGTCAGCGAATTCAGTGCGTTCGGCGAATCTGGTCTCATGACCCTTCCTCCGGGGACCCTCTCTCTCTCCAACTCTGCCCATAATCTGCGACGGTTTTTTCGCTGAACGGACAATCATGTGGGTAATAGTTCTCGAATGCATGAGCAACGAGGCGCGCAAGGTTCGTGTGACAACTCGTGGGTTTTGATGAGCTGCTGAATCGTTTCTACTTTGGCGACATTTTGTTGTTGGAGGTTGAAGGGAAACTGATTCTGGTTTAATGTCTGCAACCTAGGTACAGAGGTATTGATTCCAAGCAAGTTGCCTGCCTGGCTGACGATCAAGTACCACCCACATGTAGTCTCACTTGATTTTTGCCGCCCATCTGGTTTACCTGCGTTCCAGCTCGGCTATTTGAGTCTTCAGTGAAGGTCGAGTGGATGTGGGAAACTTGGATGTAAAATTTTGGCAAACTGTTTTATGGCAGGACTGAAGAGCCATCACGCCAGATTACAGAAAAAGAACAAATTTGAAAACCTGAGAACGGGACTTTTTCGATGAGTTCAAAAGGAAGCTCAGTAGGGACAGATAGCAGCTAATTCGACATCACACTGTCGGTGAAGTTGGCTGTAAAATATATCTTACATAAAGGAGTTTGCTGCGTAGCAGCATTTACTTCACATCAATTCTAGTCACTTACATGTGCCACATCTTATCACCTCAAATTATGCTTCAAAAACTCTGGAGGAGAGCAGCTTCAAACAAGCATTAAGACAGCAGTTTCATTCACACCAGGAAGACTCGATTAATGAAAAAGACGATACGAATACCACCGAACACCAAAAACTCATTAACCATACTATGGCGATCCCAACTCTTGCCAATACAATATCGGTTGGATGATTTGAAAACAGACACCGTTTTGGTTAATATTTTCGTCGAATACAGGAGAGATATGTCAACGATTCTCCACAATGATGCGGCAAATAATTCCACATGAATGGTAGGGCAAGACCATTTCGAAACTCTAAGCACACCTAATCTGTGTTCCTACAGTGGAAAGAGTGGTACATCTATTTGAATTTAATGCTCAAGATCATGTGTATGGACGATGATGGCAACGGGGTCTTTCAACCACAAAATGATCATCATTTGAAGAACAGATTACGGCAATCAGAACACCTCCCTGTTCATGATCACAAATATTTTGAAGAAGAACGCATACTTGTGAAGAACCCATCTCCATTCTGAGCTCTCAAGTTTTGGTCGACTGTGGCGGGAATATGTTCCTTCGCTCGGAATCGTTGGCGGGGGAGCATCTCGCTGTTAAGTAACATTGGGGTTCCTGTTTGGAAGCCAAAATATTGAGAAAACTCCTTTGCCCTGTGACTGGGAATTCGGAATCGGTGACCCGCTCTTCATGTATTGTTGTCATTCTCACTTGCAATCCGCAATAATCAGGCCATATGCGGTAGACATGGGCCATCTCGGTAGTTGTAATGACAACTACCGAATCCAAAACCCAGTTTTGTATTGCGCGAAGTGCCAGATCATGTGTGATTCTTTTGCTTGCGTCCTCTTTCTCAGCAGTGTGGCATCGCGAAAACCCGACTTCAATTAATTTGATCTCGGAGAAGGTGGCTCCCATAGAAATTTTACAGCGGTGAAGGTTGCGATGCGCAAATCTCGGGATGTGGAGGGAGATATGAATCCTGCTTTCTTTGCATATCACTCGGACATGCAGAGGATGGCTTGGAGTGAGTGATCGTGTACCAGTCGACGGATACAGAGCAGCTGAAAAGTCCGCAGCTGAAGGGCACTATAAGTGAAGTCATAGAGTCGGGCAGGAAGGGAGTGGCACTTAAAGTTGTATAAAAAAGCCTAAGCCTCGACTTCATTTCGAGGATTGAAGGTCCCGTCTCCATCAGTCTAGGCGTACGATTGGACAAGCAAACAGCCGGGGTATCTGCTCCTAGGTTTATAAAACCCGAAAAGGTCAATAACTGAGTGATGCGTTAACGAGGGCAAGAATAAAGACTACTTCAAAAAGCCAACCTGCTGAAGTCGAGGTAGTGGAAGGTGTATTTCGAGCGGATTGGAGACATAGAATAAAATTCTGCGTACTGAGTCCAAGCATCGCCAACTGCGAATGACAAGACTACTGCAAGGAAGAAGAGAGACACGACATACGCCTTGATTAGCAAAACAGGAATCTCATTCTTC